ATAAAGCTGTCTTTGAGTTGTATGAGTCTAATACTCCACAAATACCTTTTTTAGCAATACATTTTTAGTAATACCATTTTCAGCAATAATATTTTTCTCCTGTGTTAAAGTACATTTACTTTTCTTAATATCGTATCACAGAATATTATTAATAAAACGAAAGCATTTGATTTCGTAGCACTTTTACCGTGCCAGCTTTTGTAGACCACCTTGTTTTACTAAAACTTAAGACAGATTTTTCCTTTAAAAGCTCCCATCTACTATTGGAATTTAAAATAAATAAATAAATAAATAAATAAATAAAAAAATAAAAATTGTTTAATTGTTCTAAAACATGACTTCATCTGTACAGATGTTTGTGCAGCATAGACATCTACTAAATTAAGGCTGTGAGTAGTGCATGGAACAGATTTCACCGTTTCATTTAAACATTAAAATCCTGGCCCGTGCCTTTTTATTTACCTGCCATATTTGCTCCATTATCATATGACTGTCCTCTTATACTTCTAATATTTAGTCATTCTCATATTAACCTTTTTTTGATGTTATTAGCAAGTGCTTCATCAGATATTGCATGCTTCAAATAAAATTTATAAAGCTTTCTTCAATGCTACATTTATTTGTGTAAGAATCAATGTTAAATAGTATACAATTTGAGTTATCTGTTCCTGTTGAGAAGTGTTGAGTATGCAATCAAATATAATAGAAAAATATTTTGCATTTTGAAAATTCGTAATAATATGCTGTCTAATTTTGGAAGCAGCTATATTAATCATATGATTCTGCATTATAGGAGTGAAATAATTAATTTTATTTTTCTTATGATTTTCAATATGTTGTGCTATAATTAAGACACAATAACACGCCGAATAAATACTAATTCAGAAGTCAAACAACAAAAATCAGCGTTAATTTACAAAATTTTCACAGGACTAGTTTCGATGGTTTTACCGAACCATCATCTTCAGCTGCAAAACCGCAAATGAACAAGATAGGAAATAATGTTTAGATAAGATAAGAAAGCCTGGACAAGAATAAGCAAGTGGCGCCATCTGTTGGAACCGCAAATGAACAAGATAGGAAATAATGTTTAGATAAGATAAGAAAGCCTGGACAAGAATAAGCAAGTGGCGCCATCTGTTGTTCGCCAACAGATGGCGCCACTTGCTTATTCTTGTCCAGGCTTTCTTATCTTATCTAAACATTATTTCCTATCTTGTTCATTTGCATTCTTGTCCAGGCTTTCTTATCTTATCTAAACATTATTTCCTATCTTGTTCATTTGCGGTTTTGCAGCTGAAGATGATGGTTCGGTAAAACCATCGAAACTAGTCCTGTGAAAATTTTGTAAATTAACGCTGATTTTTGTTGTTTGACTTCTGAATGTTGTGCTATATTAGGATCATAATGGCTCATTAGTTCTGTAGTATTTAAATTTTTTCCACATTAGGATGACATAGTTTTCTCACAATTTCATCTCCAAACGTCATTACTTTTTAATTGTATTCAAACAAACTTTCAAAATATGCCTCCAATATTCCTTTTCCTTTAAAATCGGTTCTTTTAATTGATTACCTGTAAAATCACCTTTGCTGATTTTTGATTTGTGTGTTTTCTATTGGATTTTATTGTTTTCATAATGCGACAAAGTTTCATATCGTTGTAAGACTGGATTTCTAATACTGCCCATCTCTAAATCCAGCAGCAGTTCACATATTCTGATTTTTGCTGAACAGAATAGCACGTCATTTTGCTTGGAATAAAGCAACCAATTTTTAAGGGGCTTCTTTCTATTAGGCAAGGTTTTCCAAAGCCATTTATTTATCAAAATACCTATTTTCTGTAACAGGATAAAAAATGTTTTTATCAGGGTATTCAGGTCCGTGTTTAACAAATATTTGAATGTTACTATTTGTTACATATTTTGTTGTGGGATCATTAAAATCCATTAATTTTGATATATTATTCATGGATTCTATTTTAACATAAACCATATTATTAGTAGTATTATCACACTGCATTTTGCTTTTGTGGCTTTGGGTTCTATTTTGTCTTCGTTATCATTTTAGATTTCATATGAAACTTGTAGACGTACTACTTGTAGAAGGCAGATTTAATTCGGCTGCTAATGTTACATGCTAGTTAGTTTTTTTAAAAGGAATATTGATATTACATTTTTCTTTACATTTTCAATTTTCATTTCTCTTTTTTTTTTTTTTTTTTTTTTTTTTTTTAAACTGTGCACTGGAGATTTTTCTTTGGTGGTATATTTTCCTACAAAAATTATTTAAATATAATATTGTAATTGCATTAATTATGTGTTAAATTTTATGTAAACTGCACTTTTTGTTTGTGTTATATTAGAAATGGATAAATAATATCAAAAAGGTCGAAGGTTACTGTATGAAATAAATACTAGTTTATATTGAATAATTAAAAAAGTATGAGTTTATTTACAGTTATTTGTCAATAAAATAGTTCATTTACTGGCATCAATGTAGGAAATATAACTTTATTTGCCAGCAATAATTTCCAATAAATATATTTAAAATTCATTTTACTCACCCCTATGCAAAGACATTTTTCTCTCTGAAGTTCCACCGCAGTTAATGTACCATTTTTTTAACTAGTTAAACAAATATCTATTTTTAAATGTAATATAGAAATTTATGTACCTACAGATTTTAATGTATAAATTCTGAGAAATAAGTTTTCAAGAACAAGAGTTTGAAACCTAAACAAATTGTTCAATTTTCGGTATATTCAGTATTTCAAGTATATTGTTATAATATAGTAAATAAAGATGGAAATTTTTTCCCATACCAAACATATATACAAGCTCTACTAAGAAGGACTCTTGAGATGATCTCTTTACAAAAATATTTTATTTGCTGATGTTTAGAAAGTGCCAGCTGTTTTACTGATGTTACTAACAGAAATTCAGCAAGACTGAACTGCAAATCGAAAATATAGTAAAGTGGGTATCTCCAAATTTTACAAATATCTGCTTGCATGGTTTTGAGAGAGCCATGCATTTCGTATGTGATTTCCATGTTTGGTAGCATATATCAGTGTGAATAACTTTTCTCATTTATGAAAGGAGACAAATCTCAAACGAGATCAAAGTTAACAGGGAATCATTTGATGTTTGAGAATGCGTAGAGTGAGCAGCATGTCTTCAGAAATCTGAAAGCTAGTTGCAGCAAAAAAGATGCCAAGTATCAAAAGAAAAATTTGCCACCAGGATTTTATGTTCGTTCTATTTTTTAAAGAACTTAAGTATTAAATAAGATTATATGTATTTACCCGCTTTTTAAATACACCACTAAGTATGAAAAATGGCTTTTTTCCCCTTGTGGCTTGCACTGATGTAAAATGATGCCTATATGGTCCACTTGAAGTACTGATTTTGGCATGCATAGTCTAGTGCATCATTTTCCTGATATACTTGTACAGGGGTTGGACAAAAATATGGACACACCAAAATGAAAACATATTGCTGTGACCATTGGCATTCAAAACAGCATGCAGTCTTCTCGGAATGGATAAATAGAGGTTTTGTATGCTTTGCAAGGGAATCTTGTATCATTCTTCCTGTAAAGAGTTGGCAAGTTCAGTTAACGATGATGGTGGTCAATAGTGCTAACACATATTTATCTCCAAAATAGCCCACAAAGGCTTAACAATTTTGATATCTATGACTGTAGTGCATGATAAATATGAAAATTCACCCTCATGCTCAGAAAACCAGTCCTGGGCGATATGAGCTGAGTGAACAGGAGCTCTGTCATCTTGGAATATGGCATCACCATTGGAGAACAAAATTTATACCATGGGATGGACGTAACCAGCCATTCCTTGGCAGCAATGTGACTTTGCACAGTAATAATGGGTCCCATGGAATACCACAATATGGCTGCCCAGACCATGATCGATCCCCTGCCTTGTTTTCCTATCAGCAGCAAACAGTCTCTATCCTATGCTTGAGATGGTATTCACCAGATATAAACTAGCCCAGAAGTCAGAAACAGTGTGATGCAGGACTCATCTTACTAAATGACAGTCTTCCATTGCTCTACAATCCATGTTCTATGAATTTGGTACCATTTTCTCCTCTTACAGGCATTTAGATCACTGGCGAATGGCTTTTGAATTGAAGCTCGCCCAAAAATATCTCGCTGTAGAGCTCCTTTCATATTGTTTTGGTGCTGGTAGGGTTTACGAGTGCAACATTCAGTTCAGGTGTCACTTTTGTGCCTATAGTTTTCTTATTTTAGCTGTATCTTCTCTTCACTGATCGTCTATCATGATCTTTCAACATGCATTTTTTACTGCCCTGGGATTTATCAGTTTTTCCGTATGAGTTAAAAATCTTGCCTTTTTAAACTCCAAACACTTCAGCTGCTTTGGTTATGGAAACACTCATAATATGAATTCATTTAGCTCCGACATGATGCACTCACAACTGTGCAGAACGTTGTCTGGCTAACGAATGACACTTGCAACATATTGAGGATGTTGTATAGATTGCATAGTGAGAAAACACATCAGTGCCACAAACAGCTTTTGCGAGAATAAACATTTCAGTTCAAACATTCATTTTACAATGTGTTTCCATATTTTTTGTCCAACCCCTATTCATTGGATTTAGAAAAGGAAAGTTGACAATTTAATCTTCAGACAAGTCTGGAGGGATCATGTGGATTAATGTTTGTGTATTTGAATATGGCAAAATACATGTTGTCAAAGATGGGGTTATTTGCCTTCACATGTGTTGCTTCCCTAAGTATATCAAAACTAGGATGCAATGTGAAATATGAAATTAATTGAAAAGACATTTTTTCTTTTAGATATTATGCTCTTCTGTCCACAGCACTGATTTTTAGAAATTTTTATCAATAGATTTGTGCTGGTCTTTTTTAAAGCAGTTGTTCTTATCTTGTTGATTTTCATATCTTTTATGTTTTATAAAAATTATAAAAACAAAAAATTTTTCCTAGGCAATGTATATTGCTGGTGTTGTTATGATTCTACTTAATAAACCAGAAAAGGCTCGGCCCTTATTTATACAGCCTTCACTAACAGGTTCTGATTCATTACGTAAAAGGGTAAGTTAACTTTAAAACTTTAGAACTTATATACTAATCCATACTTATATACAATGTATATGTATATACATTGCATAAAGCAAGGTCTTTTGGGGTAAGTGTTTTAATTGATATATTTGCAGTAAATAAGCATTTTATATTTTTAGTTTTAAAACATTGTGATGCTTTTTTAGTAACTAGTAAATAGTAATTTACTGTCTAGTAAATATCTAGTGAAGATTAGTAGTAAATAAACAAGCCATTCTTAAGATATACCAGACTTCAGCATATAATGTAATAACAAAGGTTTTAAATTCTGTAAAAAATACTTTTACCTGTGCATCCAAAATCAGATTTTACATTTGTAGTAGGTTAGAAGGATTTTTTTAATATGGAACTCCAACAAAGCAAAATGACATAAATATATTCTGTAATGAACCAACTATTGAAATACAGCTAATTGCAAAACAGTATTTAGTGAATGCATGTACTGAAGTTGAGAAGGAAAGATGTATTCTCATGAATGCATTAATGAAAATCTGTACTGTGTATCAAGCTAACCTGAGAACACATACAAGGCTACAGCAAAAGAATCACAGCTTTTACTCCTGTTCTTCAAGTTATCCACATGCAGTGGCTACTCGTGAATGTCTGATTTCTTCATTGTGTTTATACATTTAGCTGCCATTTGCCAAACCTTTTGTGTTTATCTAGAAGTTTCTTCTGCCAAGTGTACGATGAATCTTGAATTGAAGCTGTCATTCTAGGGTAGGCAACCTGTGTTTCCTTATTCCCTGTAAAGTGAATCATTTAAAATTTTTAAAATTCGTTTGATCAGTTTGCAATATGGAATGTTGAATTGTTATTTAAAATTCAGAACAATATTATTTTTGGCACTCTGGTTTTAAAAACTACTTAAATCACATTCACTTATTTAATAGCAAAATATTAATTTGCTTGGTTCTTCAAATGTAAACACATAGCATATCTAAAGTATATTTCTTAATTTCAGTACAACCATCAGAAAAATATTTTTGATTCAGAGCAAATAAAATAATTTAAATAAAAGCTACATTATATCTAGCAAATATTTTTAGTAATTGGCTTTATTAATAGTAATATATATTAATTAAAATTGTTTACGTAAAAAAAATCAGTGAATTCATACAAATTCTTGAATTTTAACATTTAGAGTTACTATTATTTAAAAAATTGAAAAAAGTTTGCAGAGGATTTATAAAAATTATTTTGTTAATATGTAAAATGATTGTGAATTATTATTTAAAAATTAATGCATACAATAAATCTTTAAATTTTAATTATTTAATTCAATATTTTATTTGTAATTCAAACTTAGGTTGTAGTTATTCTTAATTCGTAACAGAAGGTATAATGTTATCAGAAGAGAAGCATTAATATTAAAATTTGATTTTACGAATTTGAAAACAAGTATGTAGATGGTTTAGAAGGTAAATCCAAGCTTATTTTTGATCAGAAGAGGTAAAACTGGTAGCAAAGAAAACACTGGGTAATTAATTTTGGCAAAGCACTCGGAAAAAAGACTATTCAGAATTGGGAAATAAAAAAAGTGTTATTAGCAATAGATTTTTTAAGGATAAAATTGATTATTTATTTTCAGTTGCATTTTATTGTTACATGTTAGTCAGTTACATGTTAGTTGTTACATGTTATTTTATCAGGTTCAATGTTCCGTCTTACTTTCTTCGGGAACATGCAAGGACCTGACTCGGAACAGAGAGCTTACTAAAGCTATGTTCAATAACTGTGGGAAGTAGACAGGATACACAAGAAGGGTATACAAAACCCTTTATTTTTCTCTATTTACAATAATTTCCGTACTTCGGAATACAAAGACCCACTACTTGTGGTCTAAACGTAAGAATATAAAAAATATAACTAAACGCTAACTTAACTTTGAAAAATAATAAACGTGGAAGATTGGCCTTATATTAACAGGAAGCCATATGTAGTACAGAGAACTGTTAACACTACAATACGTTTAAAAAAATTATCAAGAGGATTAAACCTCTGGCCTGGAAGGCAACCAGCAACTGAGTAAAACTTCTAAGGTAAGCGGCCTGCTTTGACTAACTGCTTCCTCTCTCTCGCTTGGCAAAAAGCACAACTTAAATACTTGGCGTTCGCCAGACAAACTTTGCATAAATATGTTAACGCTTATAATTCTGGCCGGAAGTAGAAAATAAGAAGTGATAGTAAAGATTTAAAATAAAATAAACGTTAGTAAAACTTAAGATCCTTACAATTTTATTACTTTCATTCTTTGGAAGAACCCAAAGCACTGATAAGTGTGGATCACTTTTCAATATCAGATTTAATTATGTGTATAACTTAATCAGCACATTTGTAATTGCTATTTCTTAATAGGACATAGAAACTAAATACACTTGCTAAACACAAAGTGAACAGAAATTTCTTATGTCTTCAGGGACATGAAAATTTAGCTGCTGCTGAATAGACTGCCCCATAATAACTTCTTTTTCTGCTTCAGGTTAGGGATAATTGATTATTTTATTACTCTAAGCATGATTTTGTGTATATGTTGTATGACTAAGATTGTTATTTTTTTTGACTGACTAACCGGGACGCTGTCTGATTATTGTTTCATATATACGCTTGTGAGAAAATAAATTATGCTTTATTCTCAAAATTCATGTTAGTAAAATTTATGAAAATTATTGCATAGCAATATTTAGTAGTCTTTATAAAGACAAGGAAATAATTTCCCTAATTGCAATTTTTATGCTTTTTCATATCATAGCACAGGATTATTCCATTTGTATTTCTTATCATTTCTAGAACATTTGCAATATTTCAGACATATTACCAGAAAATATTCTTTGATTTTTAACAAGGTTTGAAACATATTCAGATTAGGAATATTCCTCTAATCTGCTGGAAGGAATATGCATGAAGTTGATAATGTTGCTTGTTAAAACTGAATGATTGTTATATGCGGGATTTCCAAAGTTTATTTTATTACTTTTCTTTGAGAGAGGAGTAAGGTTAAATTACTACAATTTAAAAATTTCATAAAATATGCCAAAAACAAAATCTAGTCTTATTGGTCATTATATTATCGATATGTACACTGTTTAATTTTTAAATGATAATTTAAGGATGAAACATTCTTTCCCTAAGCTTCCTGTTCTGATCAGTGTTTTTATCTCAACAATATTCATATTTTATTGTTTAATTTCGCCCACCAGTGGCCGAGCGGTAAAGTTGCTGAACACTGGTAGTTTGGTCCGAGGTTCGAATCCTGCAAACAGGCTGGCTGCATGGGCGTTTTCGTGGTTTTCCTCATGTGTAACATGTATACGAGCCAGTTTCCCTTAGAAAGTCCTGCATGAAGGCATCTCTCCCCTTAGGCAGATAGCCCTCGTGTGCTTTGCCATAATTAAATACACATATACATTGTTTAATTTCTAAACTACTAGAAATAATGGAATTTTATTCTTGAGTTTACACAGATGTTTTCTAGTATATTCTGTTCATAGCTCAAATTGACTGTAGTATGACAACTTAGCTCATGCTAAGGAATGAATGCATACTTATTAAAAATTTTAATCTACCAATCAAAATAATTTATGCATATTTACAATACTTTTATTAAATTTATTGCAATTTGATCATTTTAGAGGACAATAGAGAAGCAAGTAGCTTCTCTTATGATTTTCAATCGGCAATTTTTAAAATACTCCATGACAAGAATTCAGAATTGTTTCTTATCATTTTTCTGTGAAGAATCAATTTATATTAATTATATTAATTATTTATATTAATCATGTTGAAAAGTGGGTAGAAATTTTGATTCAATCATTTAATAGATGTTGCTGCTGAAAATGTTTGATTGATTGAAAGCTGAAAGCACTTAAATGGATTGCTGTATGAAAAATGGATTTAAATTACTGAAATAGGAGAACAACTGAATATTTCTCCTAGGAACAGTACCTGATTGAACAAATTATAGTTGCACAGACAGCGTAATTTCCCTATTCCACCAGATAAAGTCCTACTAAATTGGGCATTTGAAGTGATCAGTTTTTTTAGCGACCTTATATATATTTCTTAAAACCATGTAAAGTTTGTTTTGACCCATAAAAAAGCATCTGGAGATCCGTTGCAGATTAGCCTTATGTACAGGGCAAAAAATATCTTCCTTCCTGCTTGATGACTTGAAATAAACAAGAGTAAAGCAACATACTAGAGTATATCCCACATTTGCTTGTGTATTCCTCCCCTTTTTTACTAATTGTATCATGTGCGAATCAAGAAAGGAAAATTATATGAGCACGACATGTGCTCACATAATTTTACAAGGTCCAGTTAGACTAAGAACGTAACAAATAAAAAGTATTCAGGAATTCAAAAGTTATTTATACCCATAACTATGGCAATATAATTTATTTAAAACCAATCTGCATTTCAATAAGAATACACTGTAATATTAACATTACAATATCTAATAAAATATTATCATTTATACTTTGCATCTTAAATCTTGTTTGCTCCTATTGTTATCCACAGGTACGTCCCAGGTTTCAAATCATTCAGAGCCCTGGTACTGTGTTATTTGCTATAGTTTGCAAGTCATTTTATCATCACTATTGTTATTGTCTTTGTTCAATCTCTTTTTTATCATGCAGTGATTTTCAAAACCACCAAGAGCGTTAGATGTATGTCCGTGTGAAGCGTTTTGTTATAACTGCTTTATCAGTTAGAGCCCGTGCATCCAAAATCTATGAGCAAATCAATTAGTAAGATGAAAACAGCTAATAAGTAGACAAATTCATTTTAAAATTTTGGGAAATTCACTTTCTGAAAATCTTAAGGATGGAGAAAATTATGTCAGTATTTAAAAAACTTTGCACTAAAGGCTAGGGGAAAAGATATGCAAGTAAATATAGCATATGTAAAGTAAAACATATGTAAAATAAAATTCAAACTTTAATTTTCAATAGTTCCTTAACTTACTATTTTGATTTGGGTATTGTCCCTTTTTGTCCTAGAAATAGTAACTGCTTATAATTAATCTCTGTAAGCTGCATTATTTCAAAATTAATCCATGTCATGCAGACCTTAGATAGCATTAATAATGCAGATACTTATGTAAGGGTTCAGTCAATAATAATTTTAGATGCTTAAAATTAACCAATTAAAATACGTCTAAACCAAAACTTATTCTGAACCAAGATTTCATTTTGAACACGTTATAGTGTCTTTTTAGCTACTGTGTTGTCAACTCATTAGCATTATATCTGCAACTACTTCTTTATGCCATCCACACAAGTCTTTAGTATTTAATCATTAAATATATATATATATATATTATATATATGAAATATGAAGTTTAAAGTTATCTGCAAATTGAAAACAATTGGCTTTTTTTTTTTTTTTTTTTTAACCTTTTAGACTTCAATTCTCTTAGGATGGATTGAACTTCTGGCATATTATGAACCATCATCAAAGGAAACATTAAAATATTTTGAAAATGCTGATAAGTAAGTTGTGTATATCATTCACTAATTTTCTGCTGAACAATTTTTAACTTTTTATGCATGTTTTGGAGACTTGTAATTTGGAAAATTATTTGTGTAAATGTGTTGCATTGGTTAACAAAGGGTAATCTTTAAATGAATGTAATGAATTTTTTAGCTCAAATTTTTGTTTAAAGCATGTTACATATAAATTTATTTTGTGAAGCTTTTCTTAAATTGCAAAGGAATAATATTGTTATTATTTCTGAATATGTTAATGTATCAAATAAAGTTTGTAAAATTATTCATCAAAATTATTGCTTTTCCTTATGTATTTTGATAATTTTTATATGAAGATATGATAATTGAAGGAATGGATTGGTAAGGATGATAAAAATTTGCATCCATGAATAAAATACATAAACTGCTGTGCAACATCATATTGATAAATGGAAATGTCATACTATATGAGTAAAAAATTCTGGTTTGTTAATATGTTTCTTCCTGGATAAGTTTTTTATTAAGTGCCTCAGAACTAGCTGCCTTAGAAAACCAAACTTTGTCAAACATTTTTCATGGGAAATTGGCTTATGTTATATTTGGTGAAAACTCCAGGCAATTAACCATTTCTGATAATCAAACTTAGGGTGAACTGACAGTGCTTAATAATCTTGTGCTGTTGGCCAATTAATAGGATCAGGCTTATTCTTGGTATGAAAGAGAGATGAAGCTAGCTCTGAAGATTGTGGTTTAATTTTCCCCTGAAAATCATATTAATCTATGTATTATTTATCTTTACCAGTAATACGAAAAGTTTAATCTCTTTTTTTTTTCTACTTTTCATAAATACTCTATCTGGAGTCTATTTAATTCTTCTTCTAGGATATTAATGAAGTTTACATATGTGATTTTAAAGCAGGAGTTGTCTATCTTTTCTGTTTATTTATTGTTCTTTGTAGATATAGTTCAACTGTCTCAAATGCAACTTTGGCTGGCATTTTGCCAAAACACATAGATTCATCCAAAAGGGGCGTTATTACTTCCTGCGACGTGAAAGGTCACGTGAAAGTTTTCTCTTCTCCAGAGAAGAGAGAATTTATATGCTCGGGGAAAAGAAAGTCCCCATCCTTCCACCCTATTTTGAGAATAATTTGGTCCAAATGGTGCATGCGTGTTTGCGCTCATGGTCGCAGATGATGTGGTCGAACTATACCTCAGCTTTTAACTGAATTCTGTGTTCCTTTAATTGATAAATATTATGTGCGCACATCGTTATCAAAGGTTATTTATCTTCTATAATCACGTAAAATAACAGTATACTTTGATAAATAAACTACCAACATGTTTATGGCTCTCCTGACATTAATGGTAGGGATGATGTAGATGATTTTTGAAAAAAAAACTTTTTTTTGGCATGTTGATAAGAATGAGATTAAATTCCTCACATTTTGCTAATGTTTAATTTGTTCTTGTCTTTGGTTAGAACTTGGGTAAAACACCATGACCTTTCATGTCAACTCTGGCCTAACACAATAAAACTACAATGGTGAGGAATTGTCACAGTTTCTTTACATGTAGATCATCCTTCCATTCTCCACTGACACATGCTAAGTTATTCATGTATTTTAATAATTTAAAGTATATTCCCCATTTTTCTGGTGCAAGTTATGCTTATTGGGTGGTTTTTAGGGGAATGGTGCAGTGGAGCTTCAGCTTAAACTGTTTCCGGTTGAACCTTTAGAAATTTTTGACAATTAGAGAATATTCATCAAATTATTTTGGGGACCTTTGCCTTGAAAATAAATTATATGTAATATTTTACTTTTTATTAATTATTCTTTTCTTTAATTATTTATTTTACTTTCTATCGGCCATTTCAATATCTGTAATATTTTACTTTCATCATTTGAGAATGAACAGTAGATCTAATGAATTTTGTATTTCCCACATATTCCTTATAACAGAACTTCATGGTAAAATCGCAAAAAATGTAATAAATGTTATTTTAAAATGAATTAAACTGAATTCCAAACACACATGCTGTAAGACAGATGCTTAGAATTAAAAAAAAAATTAAATGTTAGTTGAGTAATTTAATATAAATTTTTATGTATAATTAATTCACCTCTTATATAGTATTCTTTTTTTTTTTTTTTTTTTTTTCAAATTTTTTGTTTCAGGCATATAGAGACAGGCGAATTCAGTACAATATAAATAAAGAAGTGAAATAGCTTCCAATATAAATATCCTATATTGTAAAAAATTGATGGGAACTTTTTCATTTGTTATTTGAGAGGTAAAACTCATGCCTTCTGGTCATTAAATGAAATAGTCTATTTTTTGCAGAAAGAAGCTGCAACAACAGCATGAAAATTGACTTTAAAGCTGTACCACAAAATAATTTGTGCTATTGCAGTGAAATTTGTGACTTGATTTATGTTGTATGCATTGTGCTGTATGTTTATAAGAGATGCATTTTAAATTATAAGTGTAATTTGTTAGTTAATTTTCTAATATAAATAATGCTTTTTGTGTATACCATATTATTATAGTTTAATAATAGATATTATATTTAACAAATTACATGTATTATGTTTTACATCTCTTCTATGTTTTTGCATATGTAGACTGATAAAACTTTTTTTTTTTTTTTTTTTTTTTTCAGTTCATCACCGGAAGTTGTATTTGGTCATGCAAAGTACTTTGAGAAAGAAGGAAATTTTATTAAAGCTTTAGAGCACTTAAGTCAGGGTAGTGTTTTGTTTCCTAATTATCCACCAGTTTTTATTGAAAAGATGAAAATTCATGTAACCTTAAAAGATTGGGATGAGGCAATGCTTGCTGCAGATAGGTGAGCATATCTGTGTAATAAAACAGAATCAAATATTAATTTTTAAGCATTTCTTCCCTTTGTTTAATGCTTATTTATTCAGAGTACAAATGTGCTTTTATCTTAACTATCATTTTGCTAACATTATGATTATTAAATAATAGTAACCTTTTGTAAATGTTTATTTTCTGTGGAAAAGAAGGTGAAAAGGACAGACAAAACTGCATTTACTTTGTAGCACAGTTATATTTTGTAGTTGATATTCTGCTCCATATTTTTGCAGTAGAATGTTTTGTCATTTCAATACCAAGAAGGTAAATCATGAAAATAAAATAACATGATTTTAATGTTATTTTTACATATCTTTTCAAAAATTTTAATTTAATTTGTTTAATATTTGGATTAAACAATTATTGTCAATTTACAGAGATAAAATAAAATAAAAATTTAACTATAAGTTTACTTATTATATATGCAGTTTGCTTGACATATATTTACTGTTGTACTCTCACTGTTAAATTTTATGGTTTACAGGGCTTTATTTTTAGATGAGAATTGTATAGAAGCTTTGAGATTTACTGTCATTCATATGTTAACTCAGGGGGCTGAATCTGAAGAGGTATGTTGATATTTAAAAATTTTTTTATTAGCTTTGCATTAAGATCAAGTTTGACAAAAATTATTTTGCAGATTTCTATATGGTGCTTTAAAATATGTTACATGCACTTTATAAGGAATTGATGCTAAAAATGAGTAAAAGTTTTTTTGAATTCATTTTACTGTGTAAAATATTTAATTAATTCATAGAATGAAATTTGTATAATTTACGCTGTATGAAATGAGAAATTGCTTTTCACTAACTTATAGAATTTTTAATAATTAAGAACTATAGAATATTTGTTAATCTTTTGAAAATCTGATTCGAAATTTCCTGTGCTTTGTTATGGTATGTTTGCTTTGTTCATGTACATGAAAATATTTTTAATTATATGATATATAAAAAGCCTTTGCAATAGGCAAAATTATATTGAAATCTAAAGAAGGTCTTGTTTGCTTTGCTTCCTTATTAGATTGAAGAAAAACTTAAAACATTGTTCTTTACAATGTCAAAAGGTGAACCAAGGAATTCAGACCTGTTTTGTGAAACAGCTCAACTTATTTCAGGGTTGGTAAGTGCACAAATTTTATTACCGGTGTGTTGTTTAAAGTTATTTATTCATTTATTATAGCTTTAATGTTTGAGAGTATCTTAAGAATAATTATTTTCTCTGAAGATTTTGGACAGTGGTAACAATATATTGTAATGACTTAAATTGTTGTGTATGTTTACAAAGCTGAAATTGATTAAATTGATATTAACATTGTGCTTATTTGTATGATGTAATGCAGTATCATTATTAATCATTGAATTCCAGAGTGGCCAACTTTACCGATTTTCGACCGCCCTCCCGCCAACCCGATTTACAATAAAATTCTCCCGACTTTTTCTTATTCTTAAAATTTCTCACGATTTTTATGGAACTTGGCTTAATACTATGTTATATGAAAAAAAACAAAAAAAAAAAAAAAAAAAAAAAAAAAAAGTGATTTTGCACGTTTGAAAACAATTGAATTTTCACTAGATTATATCTAAAACAAAACTTTGCAAATTAGATAACTTTTGCTTTGTGAGTGAAAGTATATATGTATCCAGAAACGTCGTTCTCCAGTTCTCCAATGGGCATCATGCTCCACTGCTTGTCATCTGGCATATATTAACCAATGAGGACAAAGCAAGCTGTTATTTGGATGTTCTTTAGTTATTTCGGTCATTTTGTCCCGAGTTGTGTGAGTACACATGCACTTCGGAAAATAGTTTTAGAAATTATCATCTTTTGCTATGTCTTCGAGAAAGGTAAAATACTCGTGTATGTTTCAAAAATTGTACACAGCTGACTTTCCTTCCATTATTTCCTCAAGGAAATGTAATAAATTTGTGATGTGTACCACCTGTTGGTGCGATTTTTCGCACACGAGGACACATGAGTTGTTTTGAAAAAAAACAAAAAATTAAATTTTTCTTCAGAAACAAAGGATCGAAAAGTTATTAATGCAGAATGTCTGTTCTCTGCCTTTTCACTGGAGCACAACCTGCCACTGAATGCATCGAATCACGCTGCAGCTTTATTTAGAAAAATGTTTCCTGATAGTGAAATCGCTAAGAAATACTCAAGTACAAGAACCAAAACGGGTGCAATTGTTAAAGAAATGGATTTGAAAAATAAATCTTCAGTTATTGATTGCATTAAAACAGCTCCGTTCTGCCTCTCTATGGATGGAAGCAATAATACCGATTCAAAACTGTATCCAATTGTTGTTTGTTTTTTTAATCCAGAGTCTTCAGAAAATGAGTGCAGTTTACTTTCTGTCCCCACTTTAGAACATTTGATGGGCTTTAATATAGCACAGCTAATTATTAAAACTTTAAAGAAAATGTAGTCCCTCTGGATAATTGCTTAGCACTTGGTGCCGATAATGCACCAGTATTGGTAGGCTTGAAGTTGGTATTACCAGTATTGGTGTTGCAGGCATCTTAGGAAAATTCAGATTTGCAGATTATGAGGTGCACCTGTCCCCTCTTAAATTTAGCAGCTGAAAAAGGGACAGCTTCTTTACCAATAAATGTGGATAACCACATTGTTGATATTTATTATTATCTTGAAAGGAGTTCTAAAAGGAAGGAAAAATTGAAACAGTTGCAACAGCTGCATAACAGCAGTTTACAATTAGAAAACTTGGATGAAGTTTTAAAATCAGCTGGGATTGACACCCAGTGGAGTTTAATTAGAAAACTGAAAGATGCTGATGGAATTTTAAAATATAGTGAACTGTCTAGAATTATGTTGGCATCTTGACAGTTCCCCATAGTAATGCAGAGTGTGAGAGGATTTTCAGTATTGTTGCAAAAACGAGGACTAAATTTAGATCTAATATTAGTGATGACACATTTGAAAAACTTTTATTAGCAAAAGCAGGCCTGTGTGGCAATTGCTATGAACAAAATTATGAAGTTTCTTTCTTAAAGAAAGCAAAATCTGCCACTGTTTATAACATTTGTTCGAAAACTGATTAAAGTTTTTTCTTTGTTTGTTTGTTTACTTAAACGATGCAAGTAATAAAAATGTTTTTTATGTTCAAAGTATTTTTATGTTGCTTGCATTTAAGAATTAGTTACTACGAGGGCCATCCAGGAAGTAGATTACGTTTCCGTCTGTGTCCGCTAGGGGCGGGGCTAGCGCGGCCATCTTGGGGTCAGAGCGTTGCGCAGCTCAGTCTGCATCTAGCCATGCTAGTGAGAGGTTCGTGCTGTGCTCCGTTCAGATACTGTGACGGTTTGAAATGTCTGCGTTAATTGAAAATCCCGCGAGCTGCGAGGTGCGCTCAGTAATAAGGTTTCTGACTGCAAAAAACTGTAAACCGATAGAAATCTATCGGCAGCTTCGTGAAGTGTATGGGGACAACATTATCACTGAAGGTGGAGTGCGTCAGTGGGTCATAAGATTTCAAAATGGCCGAACCAATGTTCACGACGAAGATCAAAGTGGGAGACCCAGCATAGTGACCGCCGAACTTCTCGAAAAAGTCGATGCTAAAGTCCGTGAAAATCGAAATTTCACAATAACGGAACTTTCTTTGAGTTTTCCACAAATTTCGCGAAGTTTGTTGCACGAAACCATCAGCGAAAAGCTTGGTTACCACAAGTTTTGTGCAAGATGGAAAGGCAAGAAGAGGTAACGAAGTGGTTGAAGGCGCAGGCGGCCGAATTTTTCGACGAAGGAATTTCCAAGCTCGTACATCGCTACGATAAATGCCTTAATTTGTATGGTGACTATGTAGAAGTAGTATTTGAGTGTGGCTTTCATCTGTATATAATAAAATTTGTTTCCTATACTTTGTTTATTTTTTTATTCCAAAACGTAATCTACTTTCTGGATAGCCCTCGTATTTAAAGTTAATTCATTATTCAAAACTATATTTTCATCATTTAAAAAGTCTTTCTAACATTGTGAAAAATCTCCCGATTTCTTAAAAAATGTACATGTTCATGAGGTTTTTCAATTGTACTTACATTACAGCATTTCCTTTCTGCTGGTCCCCAGAACAGCTGTAATGTGGTTTTGAAATTCCTCTAATGTTCACAACAGTATAATCATGAGCACTCTCTTTAACATACACCCAAAGGGAAAAAAAATCATTGAATATAAGGAAAGGAGATCTTTGTAAGGCATCTGAATAATGTCTTCCCATGTCTGCCAGTTTAACGACATGGGATTGATCATTAAGATAATAACATACCTTGCCATGCTTTTTCAGTCCAATATGATGCCCATCTCTCCTTTATAAGCTTACTGACCTAGGAATTCTAGGAAATATTTTTGAGCTTATTGTGGATTAATTTAGAAATAGAAAAATTGTTTTTGTTTCGTATAATATTAACCAGGCCCTTACTGTAAATACTTACAGGGGTTGCCTTCAGGGGTCTTCCAGTGCTTCTCTGTACTGGAACCTCATTGCTAATGAACTTTTGAAAAGACAACTGGATGATCATATTAATTTATTTACTTATGACAGTGGCCTCTTGGCTGTTATTAAAGGAACATTTTGGATAATATTGAAAAAAAATTAAAGAATTAGCAATATATTTAGAAGATTGGGAGATAAAAGAAAATTTGAAGTTTGACATTAGTAAGACAAATACAATTTATTTTCCCCTTGGAGGTAAGTAGACATGTAGATCCAACTTAAAATATTGACATGAAAAAAGTTAGATTTAAAGAAGAATTTAAATGGCTTGGCATTGTAATTGATAATTATTTTAATTTTGTCTCCCATTTTAAAGCTGTTCAAAGGAAAACTGATTATATTTCAAATTATTATAAGAAAAATTTTCCAAGCGATGTACTTTCTGCTAAAAATACTATTCTGAGAGCTATCTATGAAAATATTGTGGTTCCTCAGCTCATGTATGGTATAGGAACATAATGTAGCTGGGCAGGAGAGCTTGTTCAATTGCTTTCTAAACTTAATTCGATCCAGAAAGCTTGGATTTTAGTATTTACTAGATGCTTCCAAACTGCTTCTATGGAGCTTGCCTCTGTTTTAGCTGGTGCACTTTCACTCTTCGAATTGTTTGTTTATTATTATGATAAATTTCTTCTTAGAACTGCAAATGTGGAATTAAAGGTTTATAGGGACTGTATAGTTACCCGATGTGCCTTTGAAAAATTTAATATCAATCATATTTACCCAGCTAAGGAATTTTTATTCGCTATCAGAGGAGTATCCCACAAGTTAGTAAAATAGCTATTTATACTCGTGAGTTGCGGGATGGGAGATAATATTGCTTTTGTATTTGTTATTTTCTACTGTGGAATAGAAATTAAGGCTGCTATAAATTAAATTTTTATAATAATGTATATCAGGCAGAAGCCGCAGCATTGTTTTATTCCCTAAAATTGATTAAAATAAATTTAAGGAAAGGATATAATATTCGTATTTATTCTGATTGTCTGCTTTTCAGACTCTGCCCCATCCAGACCAGACGAACCTACTGGTTTTTGAAATAATAGAATTATATAAAGAATTTAAGAATGAGCATAATATTATTTTTAATCGGGTCAAGCAACACATGGGAGATTCCGGGAATGAGAGAACACATGCGCTAGCAAAAGATGTAGTGATTGATTCTCAGGCTCAGCAAATTGAACTATAGGGTCTAAAACGAAAGCTTTGACTGTCATGAAAACATATGTGTATGGGAATTGGAAGGCATGGGAGAATGCAGATTGCAATGTAGATTACCTGAAATGTGTGCAAATTTGAAAAGGTTTTTCTTATACTGATATTGATTTAAACCGAATTTTGACTGGACATGGCTGCATTGCTATTTATTTTAAGAGATTTAATTTACTAGATTACAACAGCTGCAGTTTTTTAACGGATTGGGTACTGCTAGGCACTTGTGGAGTCTTGCACTTATTTTGCTGATATTTGCAGGGATTTATTTATATTGAAGATCGAATAGTCAGTAATTACGATTTGGCAAGAAAAGTGGTACAGAGGATCATGGAGAGAATATATAATAACAACAGAGCAGTTGAAACATTTGTCTAGTTTTTTTTTTTTTTTT